GGTTTCGGTCGCAACTTTCGGTTGGTGAATTTGGCTGCGAATGCTCCACTTCTATCACCACCGCCATCTATGTTCATATCCAGCAACTTCGACTTGATTTCATCCGTCCTGATGTCGATTCCAGAATGTTCTATCGCTAGAATCATTGGCATGAATTTTTCTGGAAGTCCCGCCAAAAGAAGAGAACCAACCCAAGTTTCATCGATTTTGAAGCCCGTACGATTCAATTTCTGGGCTGTTTCGATAACTTGGTTAACATATGACTCCATTGAATCGCAATTTTCAAGTCTCAAAGATATCAGCGTCCGAAGTAGTCCAATTTTTCTTGAGAAACCATTGTCTTCGTAAAGTTTTCTTAACGTGTCCCAAACTTCCTTGGCTGTTGTTGCTTCTTTCACATGCAAAAACAAGGAGGGATCCAACGTTAGGATCAACTTGGCTTTTGATTTCGCCATAAGTGTAGTGTCTGTTTCCGATCCGTCAAGGCATTTTGACATTCCTTCGAGAACAAAGACATTCTCAACCGCGAAAGACCAGTCCTGGTAATTTTCCCGGCCTAACAATCGCGGAACACTTGTAAGATAGTTTACGGCCATTATTGTAGTTATTACAAAAATTCCGACAAACTCAACACTGAGAAACTGTTATTTTGTTCGAGCACTTCACGCCGCGTATACTGGGCCCATAACCTGTTAAATATTTCAGTAGAAAAAGGGTGAAGCAAGAAAACAACAGACGTACTCTGCTGAGTGTCAGCCATAACTAACAATTTTATTAAGTTCACACGTCACATACAGTGTTGCCAAAGCATAAGAATATAATGGAATGACGGTTGACATTTAGGGGCACCATAGAAATATTTTTTGAACTTTTACCAACATGAATCTACTTGATGGTTCATCTCGAGGTAAAAAGGTGGGTCGTTTTGAGAGGAAACAGTGATTCTGTTTCTTATATGGCGAAAACTCAACAATGGATGTGCTAGTGATTTCTCTTCTACGTCACTACGTCTAAGTCTACTTGATTGTTGACATCTAGCTACAAAGGTGAGTTATTTCTAAAGTAAACAGAAGGTTTGTTTTTCATCTACCAGAAACTAAAAAATGGATACCAAGAAGGAAACAACATGTGCTGATGAAAGTATCCGAAAGACTGGTAATGTATGTCCAAGAGTGAGCATAACATCACTTCCTCCTCCGTCTGAGTCTTCTTGTTGATTGATTTCAGAGGTTTGTACTCTGTACTGTTGTAGGTCGTTTTGAAACTTTGAGGTGAGTTCTTCCTTGTGTGCCAATAATTCGAGAATAAATACCAAGAGAAAAACAACATGTGCTGATAACGATGATTAAGATACTGATGGTAACAAATGTCCAAGAGTAAGAATGACATTACTTTCTTTTACGTCTGAAACAATTTCTATCGTTTCGGTTCCATAGTACCTGTTTCATATGTATACAAAATATTTTAACATCTCTTGAGGAAATGAAAATATAATCTCACCATGATCTGACACTGAATAACATTGCCATTGTTATGATTCTGGAATATCGAATTCGAAAGGAACATGTGGTTCATAATCCGTTGCTATGAGCAAAGACTGCGAAGTTGTACTTTGCGTACTGTGTAGAAAACTCGAAGTAGTTTCTTCGCGTACGATGGAACAAAAATGAATTGTTTTGTAGAGGTCGATGACAAAAAGATATACTTTTTCTGCAACAAGCAACATTTTTCGAATACCTGTTTGATGGTTTATCCAGAGGGACAAAGCTACGTCGTCTTGAAAATGAACAACAAAGATCATGAGAGGAGCAGCATGTGCTTATAATTATGTGAAAAACACTGGTTACAAATGTCTAGGAGTTAGCGACACATTACTCTCTTCGACGTCTGAATCTACTCGATGGTTGAAGTCGAGGTACAAAGGTAAGGCATAGTGGAAGTGAACAGTTACTTATTTGTTTTCTATGTGGCAATAACTCAACAATGGAGACCATAATAAAAACTGTATATGTTAATAATCATGTGGAAAACACTGGTGAAGATTGTTCAAGAGTTAGCATTACATTGCTCCCATATACTGCTGAATCTACTTGATGGTTCATCTCGAGGTACAAAGGTGGGTCGTTTTGAGGAGAAACACACAGAGAAAAACGGTCCAGGTACACAAGTACACTTGAGTTGAATTTAATACCCACAAATAGATTAATGAACTTTTGTACCATTACAATAGGTGAACATTTCTTTCTGATATCGACTTCCAGTGGCAGGTTCACTTTGCTCCTGGAACAGGCCATCTTTCTTGTGCTTGATTGATTTTCATCGATGTGTTTAATACTCAGTATACAACAATCCATCTGACATTAATATAATTGTCCCTCAATCCTTGTTTTCTATGAGTGAAAGGAATAATTTTGTCATTATCATCAGTTTAATAACAAGTTCACTCGATTTATCTTCGTTTCGTCATCATTCGGCTAGTTTCGAATACCCACGAATACCCATCAATGAACTCAGTCTATATCTGTACTAAGAATATGTACCTTTGTAGCCTCGCCGTGTTTGGTGTTTGCGAACACTTATGCGTGCCTTTTTCTATTCTGGAACATTTTTGTTGTGCATGTAAGTTAAGTGATTGTGACTATTCCAAAAACAGTTCTCCCAGTGGAATTATCACTATGGAGTGACTAGCCCCAGGTCGAGAGTTGGAAAATAGGAGCAGCATATATATAAGCAGTTCATCGACGACACTTTGAAACAGCAGGGTTTGGCGAAGTTTACGCAAAACTTTCTTGGTGAGTAATATACCACTCCTATTTCTCCGTGCATGAAGAAATCTTTCTGGGCACATACGTGTTCAAGTGATATGTTTTTCTCCTTCCGAAAATGATTCTAAGCCCTCTAGTTCTTTATGTTGGTTGATGATCATTTGCGATCAATTGTTAAATCTGATATTATATATGTCCGTTTTATTCGTGGTTCCTGCCATTTATTTTTCATTCGAAGAGGTTATATTTTGAAAATATCTCCTATTTTGGTAGTGACCTCTCAATATGTTTATCGAGAGTGCTCTATGGTGTCGAAATTTCAGCAGGAAGGCACTTGTTGGATAGTTTGAATTTTGTTGAAGATTAAAGAAATATATAATCTCAGAAAAATGAATGAATTGATCTCAAGTTATTATTGAAACAGAGGAGTTTTTATATATGGTTATACTCTACAAAAGCCGAGAAATAAATTGGAAAATATCAAAATGAAAAGACTCTCTACTGTAAATGTTTGCAAAAAATCTTATTTCTCATAGTATAGGTACACGGGAGGAAATTTCAGGAAACGGACCTTGATTTTTCTTATTCGGTGTCCCTGGATTTAAGTCAAAGTAAAGTTAGGAGAAATCAACACATTATATAAAAGAATTTTCGAATTTCAGGGTGCTGATGGTAATGATGTACCTGATTAGAACTTGATGCCACTTGATCTAAATTCAAGTGGACCTTGTACCCCCGCGGCCCGCAGATACTCCATCAACGTCTGGAATATATTTGCATATGAGTCAGTTCGACAACTATTGTATATTGAAAATGATTATTCTGAATTCATTCATTTATGTAGTTTGTACTGAAATTACAAATGACAAGAATATATTATATAATGTACCTATATTTCGTTCAATGTTTATTCTCTTCTATAGAATCACTATCCTCATTGTGTGATACCTCGAAAATATGAAATATTTCTTACTCCAATATTCAACAATAAGCACATATCCATGCGAATTGAACGATAAGCAACAGCTTTCAAAAATTGATTCTGTAATGTTGATAATGAATAGTTAATCAGAAATAATACCTATAATGATTTGATTTTTCGCATTTTTCAGTTTTTATTTCTCAGGAATAAATGTATATGGGTCTGCATCATCTGAAAAAGTGGACCAGAAATGATCATTTCGATTCATGATTTTCAATGTTCTTCACGGTTGCACTTGATACTCGTAGACAATATCTTCAATTTTTCCTATATCCAGGCCATTGCAAATCAGGAATCAGAATGGTCGTTTCTGAACTCCTTTTTCAGGTATGCACATTGCACATCCCCAATATTTCAATTGAATTGCACATCTGAGATAATTGAATTATGTTCCAGAGACGAGTGATTCATGATCCGAACTAAATAATGTTCCTGGAATAATTTTATTCTCCAGAGGTAGTAATTGAAGAATGTACCTAACATCGGTCAGATATATCTCAGAGAATATCACCTATATTTCTGCAACAGCATGCTTTTTCACCTGTGGCAACTATATAGTATTGAAAATTTATTGAACTGTTGAATAACTATCATAGAAGTGAGAACCTACAACAGATGGAGAAGTCTGTAATATAATATAGCAATTTTTCAAAGGGAATTACTCGATGTTCAATGGTGATTGAACTGTCTAATCAATGTTATTCAACACCTACTAATAATCCTGAGTTGATTCGAAATATATTCATTCATTCACGATCAATGAACTATATATTTGAGTGTCTATTGCAGGTAAACCAATTCAGGTAAAATATTTTGTCTACCACTATCATACTGTATATCTGTCCCATATAAGATTCAAGTCTTTAACTGTGACTATCAAATGTTTGATAACCATTATTAAAGTTTTTTCTCTGTGCAGTGAGTTTGCTTCTCATTCGCCAATAACTCAACAATAGATGTGCTAGTTATAATGTGAAATACACTTGTTACAAATGTCTAAGAATAAGCATAACATCATTCCATTTTACGTCACTATACGTCTAAGTCTACTTGATTGTGAATCTCTGGCTACAAAGGTGAGTCATTTCAGAAGTAAACAGTGAGTTCGTTTAGCATTTTCCGAAAACTCGGAAATGGATACCAAGAAAGAAACAACATGTGCTGATGATAATGTTTGAAAGACTGGTAACAAATGTCCAAGAGTGAGCATAATATCACTTCCTCCTCCGTCTGAGTCTACTTGTTGAATAATTTCAGAGTACAAACATAGGTCGTTTTGGAAGTGAACAGTGAGCTTTCTTCTTCTGTACCAATAGCTCTAGAATAAATACCAAGAAAGAAACAACATGTGCTGTTAACAATGATAAAAATACAGGTAACAAATGTCCAAGAGTAAGCATGACATTACTATCTTCTACGTCTGCATCGATTTCTAACGTTTCGGTTCCATAGTACCTGTTGTTCAAAACATCTCTCTTCCATTTGTGGATCAATCCACACTCTTTAGCAGTTTGTATCAACGTGTCAAAGGATTGCGATAAAAATGATGATTTCTTTAGGATTATCATCGGTGACATGGAAACTATATTTCCATAGCAATAAACCAAGGGTGCATTTGAATTTACGGATACCAATTTTTTCGACAGTACTTTAGTCATGATATGAGTAGCGCATAATGCACTATCCCTCCTTTCTGCTACTAGAGTCATGCATTTTTCTATGCCCTCACAATTTACCCACTTATCACGAACCAACTGGTATTCGTCTCCTTGAAAATATCTGATCACATTATCCAAGAAGTAGGTTGTTAAATTATACTTGTAGATATCATCAAAAGTTCCGTATTTTTCTCTAGATGATGTATTGGCCAAAGCACTGATCAGAAGTGATTGAAAAATGAAATCAACTATTATTATAAACACCATTAAACTTATGAAAGTCATTCGTAATTTGAAACTCCTGAGTTTTTTATGAAGTGGGACTCCTGCAACTATCGATATCAACCAGATCAGAAGTCTCCCAAGTTTTTTCTCACCTTCACCATGTTCCCACAAACTGATTAACCACATCGCAACCCCTGACGTGATTATCAGTGAAAGGATCAAAAACGATGTCACTATGTCAATTCTCAACTTCAGTTTATCATCCTTCACGAATTCCCTTGGGACACACCACAGCAAATAATCTCCTAAATAGGGTGTTGTGCCATCAAAAACAAAGAGCCTCTCAGCTGTCATTGTATATGCTGCCAAGGCTATGTCGATTTTTGAATCCATCAACAACTTCAAACTTCCAGTTACAGTTCCATTGAGGTATACCTCTCCTATCGGTGTTTCTATGTAAAGTACTTTCAATTCTAGACGCCTAGCTATGAAATTCACCAGATTTACCTCGATTCCGTGTTCAGTATTCATGAAGTCTCTGTTTCCTATGGTGCCATTTTTTATATTCATAATATAACCTTGTCTCTTTCTGTATCCTGCAACTAACAAACATCCTTCCATAGACTTCGGCAAAATAGCCCTCTTCTTGAAGAGACTGGTATCAGTTGACAATATTCCATAAGAACATTGGCAAGCAATCTTGATTGTACCAGCATCTTTTCCACAATTATCTTTTTTGAAAGGATACCATCTCATAATGTTGAAAACCACTGGATTTTCAGGTCTTGGAACCAAAACAAGTCCATTGATGACATTATTTTTCCAGAGGGGCTGAATGAGTCTCTCGATGACTTGTGAATCATTTCTGAAGATATTCAATGAACCAACTATGAATTTAGCTTCCAATGGTTTCCAGAAATGATTACCAAAATTGGTGTTCTCTCGGAGAGCATCCCATAAGTAAATGATGAAATATTTCGAAATCAAACGATTCTTTGTATAGTTGATGGTAGAAAAATTATGTTTTTTGATGGTCTTTACATTCAGAGACCATTTCATAGTGTTGCTGAGCATGGGTATCAATTCTTCCACAGGATCAGACACAGTCCTATAATCTTGGGGCTTTTTGGCACCCAAAAACGATATCGTTACTGGGTTGTTCTTTGCGTAATATTTGGAAGCAATTTGAGAAATGCAGAGATTGAGAGAAGTTTTCGATTCATTTTCTGAGTTGGACTGGATTCGATTGAAGGCTGTTATAATCGAAAAACTCGACCAGATGAGGAACAGCTTCATCTTTGAATGGAAAATGTAATTTCACTTCAACTTATAGTCGTCACTGACGCAATTTGTTTTTTTCCAATTATAAGTGAATATGAAATGAGGTCTCATTAATGTGTTTCAATCAAAAAATATCCTATGGAACAGTAGAACAAAGAACAAATAAAAAACACGTTTCTAATGATTTATTATCGAAGGATTATAATAGATTACCATCTGAAAACTGTTAACTATGTTGATAACATCATTGCACTCCTGACAGAATATAATGATTTATTTTCAGTGACATTGGATCTGACGACATAGTGGCACATTTGACAGCGTCGAAATATGTTAATATGCTCTCATTAATTGGTTGTTGAAGAATAGATAGGGATATATATACAGGGTGTTTCATGAGAAGACTCACAAAGCCAGATGGTTAATAGGGGAAATCAAGGCGAGTTGATGTATACAGTCTGTCCAAGATAAGGTTGAACAACATGGAGATCTCGGAAACGGTAGGAGATACCGAGTCGTTTGAATGAGGAGAAAGTTGCGCAATCGGAGGCTCATATTAGGAGCCTTCGAAAATTTCCGGAATTATTTTCAGTTTTTGAGTTATATCGAAAAAAGTGAATTTTTGGAATATCTACTTTTTTTTTCTCCGTTATTATTGGATGTACAGAAGAACTGAGGATACTTTTCTATGGCAACTTTCGATGAAGTTTAACGTTGTGATACCGATTTGTTCATGCGACGTTTCTTTCCCGTAGAACCATCATCAACTTTTGTTTTTTGAATACGGTCTTGGTAATTTTTTCCTAGATTCCGAAAGGTTTTTCCATTCTAAATTCAACCATGTATTATACAAGGTGATTCGAATGTGTTTCGACCTATTTCTATCCATCATCAATGTTTTTTCGAACTTCCAAAGGAAAAAAGACATCATTTCCACTCATTCCTGATCATACAGTGTCAACTTGAAGGATTAGTTATTCAATACCTACTGAAAAGTGAATAAAGAATATTTCACTTCATCATTCGATCAATGCAGGGCTTAAAATTGTTGATGAATTCTTACACGAATCACTTCAACAACTTTACTTTGACAATGCCTACACTGAGAAAAACTGGTTAATTAAAACGTCTAGTTGGTATTTTTTTTAGTACCGATACCAACCGACGTCACGTGTATATTTATGATTCCCTCTCTTTTTGCTGAGCTGTGGCCTGTGGCACTTACGGTGTGTGGTGTATTCCTGTTCACGATTCCATTGGAAATTGGAAGGAAAATGGCATACAAACTGTTATTATTAGAATGGGGCCTTGATTTCAATTGATATAAAACTATTAAGTTGCCAGAATAACTAAATTATATTTCGAACGTTACTAAATCACTTTTAATAGTAACTAGATTCCATTTCAGTCACAATTAAATATTTAATTTGCAACAACACACTCACTATTATTGTCAGAAGAAATGAGTAATTGCCCCAACTGGGATAATTTGTTGTGATGACAAACATATATTGAAACAGTACTAACAATCTAATTGTCATAACTATGTATCTTGATTGTGGCAAATAAAACTTGGTATTATTCCTTGAAAAGGCTTATTAGTTACCACAACAACGTCGTTGATGACTCAACTAAACTTTCCATTTGAGGCAAATAGGCGTTTCCAGAAAAACAAAATTAGTTATGGCAACAACTAATGCTTGCTGTCCCCTATCGTACTAAAAAATTTTTCTGTAGTTACTAATTTTTTTGTAACGGCTACAAATTTTTTCCCTCAGTGTACAGACATTCATAACAAATGTTCGAAATGATAACCATTATTTTCTGAACAAAGATATCCTCTTCTCACAGTTGCTTCTATGACATTGCTAAGCATTTCTGGGGTTATTCTATTGAATGCTTCGAAGACACACTGTCCCTTAGTTCTTCTCCATCATCAAAGTTATTTGCGAATACAATGTTTAATATATTCCCTAAGAAAAAATCCAGCTGTGTCAAATCAGGCGACCGCGCCGGCCAAGGGACTTTAGAATGAGTACCAATCCAGTTTTCTGGATAAAAACGCACGGACTTCTCTGAAATTATGTACCGGATCTTGTTGAAACCAACAGTTCTGAACTTCCGCAATCGGTAAATCATCCAGAGATTCCTCAAGATGATTCTCAAGCAAATTTCTATAACGTTAGAAAGTCTGTGTTTCATGGTAAATGAAAGGACCAATAGCTCGTATACCAAATATTACAACCCACATATTAAAGCCGAAACGGTGTTGGTGTCTCACTGTAATGTACAAATGTTCATTTTCTCGTAAACAATAATGTGTATTTTTTCCGATTTTTTCTATCGAAGATACCATGATTAGTGACCATGCTCTCATCAGTCCAGATGATTGTTCGAAGGAAATCTGCAAAATTTTGACATTTCCTGGTAAACCACTCACAGAATGTCCTGCGCCTTTCGTCATCGCTTGGTTTTAGCGCTCGACATATTCTGAATTTGTATGGATGGAATTTTTGTGTCCGCAAAATGAAATGGGTTGTTGATCGAAACCAGTTGATGAGGTATTAGTGTGTTGACTGATTTTCCTTCAAAATGAGTGGAACTGATGGCATTTTCCCTTTGGAATTTCGAAAAACATTGATGATGGCTAAAAGTTGGTCTAAACACACATAAACCACCATGTATAATACATGGTTGGATTCAAAATGAAAAAGCCTTTCAGAATCTGTGAGAAAATTATCAGAACCGCATTTAAAAAACAAAAGTTGATGATGGTTTCACAAATACGAAACGTCGCATAAAAAAATCAGTATCACCACGTTGGACATCATCAAAAGTTGCTGAAAATAAGTATTCCCAGTTTTGCTGTATCTCTTATAATAACGGAGAAAGAAAATAAAATAGATATTCCAAAAATTCACTTTTTTCGATATAACTCAAAAACTAAAAATAATTTTGAAAATTTCCGAAGGCTCTTGATATGAACCTCCGAATGCGCAACTTTTCCCCCATTTAAACGACTTCATACCTTATCTTGAACAGACTGTATATATAAAAACCTTTTTTGACCCTCCATAACGAAGATACAGGGTATTATGTGAAATTGTTATATAATTTTGATGGACGATATTGAAGAAATGTTTCATCGTAACCTCCTGGAATTCGGCAGCGAAGTATCTCTACTGAAACTATTCAAGAAAAATTAATATGAAAAAAAATATCTAGGTCCGGACTTGGGAAAATTTCATGTTTCATTGTAATGTCAAAACAGTTCACTGTGTGACCACTTTTCTCGAAAAACTCCATCAGATTCACAAAGATCAGACAAAATGTTATGAGAACTGCTTTTCGATTCACACGGCACACTTTGATCGGTTCAATAAAAAAATATGGAACAAAATCGTTCTAATGAATTTCAAATGTCGACCTGGCTGATAACTGTCAACTTTCAACTGGTATCATGTGAATTGATATTTTCTACATTTTTGTTGAATATTAATTGACAAAGGAATAGACGAGCAGAAAAAACAAAATATTTTTTTATCGAAATTCCAGATATATATTATTATTCCTGACTTTGTTTAATGGGTTTCAATTGAAGTAATGATCAGATATCTACTTGGATATCTAGTAGGCCCTGATCTCCATTTGTGACGAGACGTGACGTTTGTTGATAATCCGAACTCATATAATATAATATAATAATAATAACATTTATTCATGTATAATGAGTACAAATAGAGATACATAGAAAAACAAACATAGAAATACATGATAATATAATAAATATATGCTGATGAATAAATGTGAGCACTCAATAAGTGAGTTAACACTTGTTTTGAGGGTGGAACAAATGCAGTGAGTAATAATAATAATAAAATAGAATTGATAATATAATATAGTATTTACTAGAATAATATATACATTTAAAAATGATAATACCTTGACGATAGCAAAAATACTTTCAGTAAATTTGAAGTTTAACAATGTTTGTAGGGTTATTGATGATGTATGTTTTCAGTTCGTGCTCAAAATGAGCAGTAGATATAATATTTTTCATATTTTCAGGTAGGGAATTATAAATTTTTGGAGCGATATATAAAAATGATCGTTGGCAAAGTGTTTTTGACATTTGTGGCACTTTGAAATGATGTTTTTGTCGTGTATTGTAGTCATGTGTCGGAAGTTGTGCGATATGTTTGTTTTGATGATATTTCAAGTTGGCCGTGAAATAATATAGTTGTCTAACATCGAATATCTTGGCTTCAGAATACAGTTCATCAGATGGACATGTTCGTTCTTTCGAAAATATTATTTTGAGAAGCCTTCTTTGAACCACTTCTAGGGGGTTTATGTAAGTATCTGCAGCACCGCCCCATCCTAGTATGCCATAAAGCAGGTGACTTTCAACTAAGGCAAAGTACAGGGTTTTGAGTTGAGCCACCGGTAAGAATTTTTTGAGGTATTTGAATTTGTATAATAAAGTTTGTAATTTTCTTGTAACGTATGTTAAATGTTGGTCCCATCTCAAATGGATATCAATATATATTCCTAGATATTTCATTTTTGTTTCAGGTTTTATGTCTACATTTTCGCCATGTATATTGAATTTTAAACGATCGAATGAAGGAATGTTGGACTTATTACAACTAAATGGTTAGTAGCATGTTTTCTCTAGATTCAATGTAAGTAACCTGTGATCTAGCCAATTTTTTATCAAGGTGAAATCCGTTTCAGCTTTTATTTTTAAGTCTTCCCAATTTTCTGCTTTGTATAGAATAGCGGTGTCATCAGCAAACCCGATGATCTCACCACTGCTTCGTTGTGAAAATAGCCCATTAATATATATATTGAATAGTATGGAGCCCAGAACAGTTCCCTGTGGAACCCCATACTCTATAGTTTTTGATTCACTCAAAACATCATCAACCTTTACAATCTGGTGTCTATCCATGAGATAGCTCCTAAATAGTTCGAGGCAATTATTCCGAATGCTGATATCCTCTAAGGATTGC